GCTTATCCTTATCATGGACTATATTTAACATCTTAGCTACTATTGGATGATAAGGACTTGATTATCTACAGTACCAGATCTCTGATACAGTACTTAAGACCCTGTAGACAGTCAGTAGAACCCCAGACTTGACATCTTGTACCTTCAGCCTAGATATCTCTGATTCGGAAATCTACTGCATCCTTTGCCCCTTCACATCTTTGATCTCCCTGAAGGGACCCCATTGCCTCTGGCAATGGGTGTGCACCTTTCCCTTTGAACCTGTCCCCTTCCCCTTCATTCCCTTTGGCTTTAGTCTGCTTGGTGTGCTTCTAGCACTGCAGCTAAGCCTGATTCCAGCTTAACAGTCAGAGGGGATTAGCTCCCTTTGACTGACTCTTCCCGTCTCCCTCAGCACCTGGTTATGGTGCAGATCCTCTCCCTTCTGATGCTAAGAAGGCCTGGTGCAGCTTGCCAGGCTGTGCCGGGCTTGTCACGAGCCCAGAGGTACTGTCCCGGGAGTACAGAGCCCACTCCCGCAGCCGAGGCCCTGAACGGATCCCGCGGACCCGTGCACGTCGCACAGGAAACGCCCTGCCGAGCGTTACAGGAATATGCATTTTGACGGTTTCAGGTAGAGATCGTTGTCTGAGAGGATTTGTAGAACGCGGGTTATGCATTTTTGGTGGAAAGAAATATCGTTTGAGGTAGCGATAAGGATATCGTCCATATATATTACAAGCCATCCTTCGTCGAGCTCTTTTCGAAAGATCGCATTCATCATCGTTTGGAAAGTTGTGGGGGAATTTGTCAGTCTGAAGTACATTACCAGGGGTTCAAAGAGGCCTTTATTTGTTTTGAAAGCAGCTTTCCACTGATCGCCTTCTTTGATGCAGATGTTATTGTAACCCCATCGTATGTCGAATTTGGTGAATAGTGCAGCGTTTTGGACTTTTGCGATCAGTTCATCGATGAGGGGTAATGGGTAGGTGTTGCGGAGGGTGTGTTCGTTGAGCTTGCGATAGTCTTGTACCGGTTGAAGTTTACCGTCCTTTTTCTTGACGAAGAAGAAGGGGGAAGTGTATTGTGATTTTGACTCACGAATGTATCCCTTGGCGAGGTGTTCATGGAGGAATTCTTCGAGTGCCAATTGTTCTTTTGGATTGAGGGGATATATTTTACAGTCCAGGGTGTTTGGCGCATCAGATTTAAGGTCGATCGCGTGATCCCACTGGTGTGCCTCTGGGAAGCGAAGGGCTTTGTCCTCTGAGAAGACTTTGGTGAACTGCTGGTATTGTGACGGTATAGCAAGATCCGGGGGCTGTTGTGTTGTGAGTTCTGTGGATGGGGATATGTGCATGATGAGTTCTTCCCCTGGTAGGAGTCCTAGAGAAGCGGCTGTGGGCATGTGATGTTTTTGTCTTCGCGGGAGGATATGTACGGCCTCTTGGACGGTTGCCTGAAGCCAATTGATGGTTGGTGTAGTTCGCGCAAGCCAGGGATAGCCTAGGATAAGATTTTCTTTACCAAGATCTGCGACAAAGAAGTCAAGGAGGTGGATGGATGAGCCAGTTTGAACTGTGCAAGGAAGATAGTGAGTGATTTGACCGGCGGCATTTGCAGATCCATCGGCATTGGAGAGGGATTTTGGTATTTGTAGCGGGCAGGTAAGCAAGTTGTGTATAGAGATGAAACATTTGTTGACGAAATTTTCAGTCACGCCACTGTCAACGAGCGCGGAGACGGTCCCAATAGTAGAAAAGTTGGTTTGTATTGAAAGAGACTTCAGTACAAATCGATCTACGATAGCCCTCAGGGTGGGACAACCCCTCAGGCTGTTACAAAATCTGAATCAGCAGCGAGTAGGGTTTGTACCTGGTCTTCCTGTTCTTTGGTTAACCCTTTAATCATAGCGACGATGGCAGCAACATCAGGTTGTGTATCCGTGGGCACCTTCGAAGTTCTTTGGGTTGTATTTTGAGCTGTAGGGACAATTACCTGGGAGTCAACTGTTGTTGCAGTTGCGACGCGAGGCTTCTTCTGAGGGCAGTCATGAGATAGGTGTCCCTTCTGCATGCAATAGAAACACAATCCTTCGCGTTTGCAGCGTTCTTTGTCGTCGTCGGTAACTGCACGTCGAATGGTGTTAGCATCCGTATTGTCATGGTCTCATCGTGATTGTTGGGTTTGACTGTTTATAGGTCGACGCCAGAATGGCTGGTCATTAGTTGGACGTGCTGTCTTGCTGCGGAGACCTTGGACAATAATGAAATTCCGTTGTTGAGTTTGTGCTGCCTTTTGCCATTGCTCCAGTGTCATCGGGGAGTGTTGTTCAACACATTTTTCTGCTAAGTGGCCCTGTAGTCCCCAGGCGAAGAGACGCATCGTACTAGGGTCGTCGGGGTGGAGGCCAGCTCGTTGAATTAAGATGTTGAAGGAGGCGATGAATTCGTCAATGTGTCCATCCTTCATCTGTAATTTCTGTACTGATTCATATGCTTGTTCCCTCATTGTGAATAGTGATGTGCATGGCTCGGCTCAAAGCCGTAAGCCGGCCGTTTCTGAGCCGGAAAAAGCCAGGCCGACATAGGCCGTGAAAATGGCTTCCAGCGGCCTACGGCTCAGGCTTTAGGTTTGGAAAGCCTGAAGCCACGGCTTAGGCCGCGGCTTTTGGTGGCTGAGTCACGCTTTCTATCCGGATTTTTGCAAACTGTTGAACCAGAATACCAGTACAGAGATAGCAACATAATTGTGATTGTGTTTAGATAAAACAATTGATGAGATAAAAACATGTCTCACATTAATTAAAATACTGAGTATATACATCTCAGATTGATCATGTGATTAAATCACATTGCAAGATAATACATTTGTTTACTTTAACTTAGTAGCTGATATAGTACATGTCCTGGATGCGCATTTTTTGGCATCCCAGACTGATTGAAAACCATCCTGAGGGTGTCACGCGATTGCGCGTCTTGCAGAGTCGACCTTCTTAGACTTAGATAAGATAAGAAGGAGTTCGGACCGATCTGACCCAGTCCACGCGATGCCAAGTAGTTGCTGCCCTACACATGGACACTGATAGATACACGCGGCCTTTGTTTGAGTAATACAATTCGATGATTTGATTATAGAGTGATCTAAAGTAGTCTAGTATGTATTTTAGATAATGCCAGACTGGCAGAAACGATTGCGCGTTAATAAACAAGATGTGTCAGGGTACTTAGAAGAGTAAGCCACTGATAACTAATTAGATTTACATTGCACGCTCGATCGGCTTTGGTATTTCGTAGAATAGTACTAGAACTTATTTAAAGGTCTATTCTTGCTGGATTTTCACTCTTAGTTTCACCACGATCTCAACATCTTATCTTATCTACATAGCAAGCATGGGATAGAAGCACCTGTTACAAACACTTGTTATTGATACAAGCTAAACTAAGACAATTTATGTTACATGAGTTAAATAGGAGACATAATATGGCAGAAGGCCAAAGCAGTGGCCAGGGGTTGATATAATGTAAACTACAAGTCCTTCAGAAATGCAGAGTAAAAGCGATCAGAAGATCCAAACTAAAACTTGTAAAGCCGCGGCTTAGGCCTAAGCCGGGCCTAAGCCGGCCGGAAGCCGTCGCTACGGCCCAGGCTTGAGTTTTGACAAGCCTGAGCCGCTAAAAGCCGAGCCTAAGCCGCGGCTTCAGGCCGAGCCGGGGCCGTCACAACACTAATTGTGAAGTCGAAGAACGTATCAAGGAACCACCTCTCGATGATTGCCCAAGCGTCAGTATTCTGTGGAATGAGGCTACTGTCAATTTTTGCTCGCTTAAGGAAATCGATCGAGTTATTATAGAAGGCCTGGACCTGAGGACCTTCTAGTTGTTGCAGGAAGTAGAGACTCCTTTTCACCTTGTCGATGGCAACTTCGGACCGGTCATTTAACTCGAGGAAAGAGTCAAACACTTTGAGGAAGTCTTCGGTCTTTGTGCGATCTCTGTTGAATCTAAGCGGGAACGACCCCTCAAGTCGCTCATATTTGGTTGTTGTTGGGGGTGCGGGTTGTGGTACAGTTGGGGCTCTAGATATAGCTCGTGTCGGTGATGTAAGAGGTTCTGGAAACGTGGTAGGCGCGGCAGTTACGCCAGCGAAAGCTGTGGCATAAGAAGTGTTGACAGTGAGTCCCTTGTTGAGACGGACCCAAAGCCACCGGATCAACCCGAGTGGCATTACCGCCATGCACGCTTGTGGCGTGCTTTGACTGATTGATAAAGGACAATCCACAAACGCTCTTTATTCTCTCTTGTGACTGTAGGACAATGGACTTAGATAGTATTGTTCTACAAACTAGGATTACACTCTCTTTTAGTATTTAAGGACATCCCTTCGTGTAGTTGTCACTTCAGTTTTAACCAACTAAACTGAAGTGAGTATTACTTATCTTATCTCTTACCTTACTTAGTTAACGCGTTACATCACACAGTTATCGCTACTAAACTAGGTAAACATAATATTATGAGTTTTAACCAACTAAACTGAATTATCGCTACTAAACTAGGTAGCGCTTATCTAACTTGCTGCTGCTCAAATCGACAGGTTATGGGCCCTGGCCGTATCTAATCTAATCCAGAAGAAGATCCACCCAAGATTACACAAGCTCCCTTCCCCTCTACACGCACTGTTTTTCTCTCACTCAAAAGGCAAGCCTCTGTTCCATGTCTATCATGATCTCATCTAGTGTTTAAAGGTCTGGTCCAGTCCAGTTTTTTGACCATAATGGGACACAACCGGCAACCGCAACCGGTTGTTGGTTGCACCTTATGTCAGGTAACCGGACCGGACCACAAAAAGACCGAAAAATGGTCCTTTTCGGTCCGGTTGCTGGTCCACAACCGGTCCAAACCGGTCCTACAATATGAAAATTATGTAATAAGAATATAGTAGTGTAGTAATAGTCATATCATAATGAGAATGACATTTATCAAAGAGCATATGAAATGCTGACCCACATGCCAGAAAATAAATGGCAACATCTAAGGAATTGAACCCAAGACCGCCGGGTATAAGCTCAGTCCGGTGCTCTAACCATTGAGCCACCCTGCCTCACTAGTAAAGACACACAATATATTATATATAGGGTTATGCAGAATTGATTTTATCACTTGTATCTAATTAATTGTGAACACATTTTTGATCTTATCACTTAGATGTATATCCTAAGTATCTAATTAATTGTGAACGCGTTTTTTATCACTTGTATTATCTAATAAACTGTGAACGTGTTTTTGATCTTATCACTTAGATGTATGTCCTAAGTATCTAATTAGTTGTGAACGCATTTTTGATCTTATCACTTAGATGTATGTCCTAAGTGTCTAACTAATTGTGAATGCATTTTTGATCTTATCACTTAGATGTATATCCTAAGTATCTAATTAATTGTGAACGCGTTTTTTATCACTTGTATTATCTAAGTAACTGTGAATGTGTTTTGATCTTATCACTTAGATGTATGTCCTAAGTATCTAACGCGTTTTTGATTTTATCACTTGTGTTATCTATGTGTAATCACAATTATGTCAGACTGCTATCCTGGAACGTCTGTACTAGTATCTTTGTTGAACCAATAGATAATACAAGTGATAAGATCAAAACGCGTTCACAATTAATTAGATACTTAGGATATACATCTAATACAAGTTGTAACACTTTTTGCTCGGCGGTTACATCGGCCTGAAACGCTTGTCAGAATTTCTCCCACGGGTGCGGCTCTTGAATTCTAGTGTGGGCTACATTGGCCAGCCACCTCGTCTTCTCCGTCACCCATCGATTAATTTTTGGTCCTCTTATTTGGCCCAACACATAGGACACTCTGGTTATCTCCTCTCTTATGATTGTCACTTGGTTATTCAGGAAGATGTGGAGTTCTATCTGAGTCCACTAATGCTTTGCCTTTGCCCGGTTTCCGTCAAACAATGGGGGTGGTACCCCTTCAATTCATTCTCTGGTCGTCCCATCCTTGGGTGTCATGGTTACTAGTAAGTCAGTGCATCATTCTTCTGGGTCTTTAGCTGATTGCTGTCGTTGTCTAGGTTGGGGTTCAGGAAATGTGGTCATCATCTGGCGCTTTGGAAGCCGAACGACTTCTTTCCCAGCTCCCCAAAAAGCAACCTTGCGAACCATGTAAACGTATCGTATCTGTATGTTTTCTTTGCCTTATCATCACCCTCGTACGTCCAGCTCGCTCCTATTCCACACTTCTTCCGGACAGTTCGACTCGCGTTCCTGCGCACTTACGTCGAAAATGTCCCATATACCCCCAAGAGCAAGCCCGACCGTCTGTATCGTACCTTATGGAAGAAGCCACTCGAATCAATATTGGCACCCATAGTTGTCCCTGACCCGAAAAGACATGTGTCCAGGTTCGCTCCTGCTGGTAGCGCTTCGAATGATGGTTGGAGGATGTGTTCGGTTTGGTGGGGTTCTGGAGGCATCAGGTGCATTGAGTTCGGTTTCGTTTTGGGGCTATTCTAATAACTTCGTCCTGTCCTAGATTGTTAGGGCGGACGTGGTACCACGTCCCTTGGTAGAGGTCGACCGCGAGGCGTGTATGTCGGTAGGGGACCCAATATCCCCTGAAAGGTGCGTTCTCCTCTCATAATTCTAACCAGCGTGCGTTCCTTTTCAGCTTTGGGTCGACGTCGTCGGTTAGCCGGATAGGAAGGACAAATGGGAAGGAGGTCGTCACAGCTGCAAGATTCGTTTCAATGGATGTTTACTAAGGGTTCCTGGAGCAGTCTTGCTTCCAGTCGGGGTTCCAGCAAGAGTTCGGGATTCGTGGGTTCGGCGTGGAGTGGGGTGCTATCGGTCGGGGAGTCGCTTGCAAGAAGGGCAAAGCAGTTTTGGTTCTCGGTAAGGCGCTCTCAATATCTAGCGCTACTGATCTGTCTGTTAAGTTTCAATCCGGAGATTGGTATTCAAGGGACGCGTCGTCTATCGGAGGGGTCTGTGGTTCTCGCGCCAAGTGAGACGTCGTTCGGGGATTCGGGAAAGGGGACGCGTCGTCGTCTCCTTGCGGGTTCAGTGAGTGTTTCTGATTCTAAGTTCTCTTAAGTCTGTTCTAATGTCAAGGTCGAGACTGTCAAGGATCAGTCAAGTCACAGTATCAAGGCAAACCACAGAGGGCCAGGATCGAGGCTCAAGGTCAAGGCTATCAAAAGCAAGTTGATTCAAGACTGTCAAAGCGAACTACAAGAGCCGCAGTTGACGTTCAAGAGGCCCACAAGAGCCATGGTCAACGTTCAAGAGGCCCACAAGAGCTGCGGTCAACATTCAAGAGGCCCACAAGTTACAAGAGGGGCACGCATGCAAGAAGCGAGTCGACGCAGTGCTTAAATACATGTACTCTAGTGTCTTGTAAGGTAGAATGCTCAGTCTAATAGCTAGCCATGTGAATCTCCACTGGAGATTAAGTAAATCTAAGTGTTGTTGCACCCACTCCAAAAGTGAATGAGTGTCAATCTCAGTCAGTCTAAGCAGTCCAAAAATCAGCATTCATGATACTGAGGATATACATCTAATAATACTCTGGACAACCATATATAATATATATTGTGTGGTTTTATTAGTGAGACTGTGTGGCTCAGTGGTTGGAGTGGGAGTGTGTGTGTGTAGACATGGGTCTGACTGGAGGTCTTGGGTTCAATCCCCAATTTTGGCTATTTCTTTCCAGTTTAGGAGCCCGCGGGAATTTCCCCCCGGATGACTCAGATCCGTGAGTCGGGTATTCCCATGGCTGTGGACTTTGTGCTATGCCATATATGGAAATAGACTGGTTGCAACCGGTCTAAACCGGTTTTCATCGGTCTTTCAATATTCTGTAATAGCATGCAACCGGCAACCGATAAGTCACAGAATCTGGGCAACCGCAACCGGTGGTCTGGTTGCATTTGGTCGGGTCCGGTCTGGTTCCGGTCGCTTTTTCGGTTAGGGCAACCGGACCTTTAAACACTAATCTCATCTCCCCAGTCCCTGGAACTGGTGGACTGATGTAGACTGGGCCCCTAATCAGGGCTTCCCACGAGCCGTGTGATGGAGCGTGGTGACGCTGAAGCACGTGTGAGTACTCTCTCGGGCCCTTTGACGGACCGAGAGGCTGGATTCAGGGCGCACAGTTGATACATCAGAGATCGATCGGATCTTCACTATCTGGGTCTAACTGCTCTGCTCACCCAGATTGGCAAATTACTAAGCAGCACTATGGCCCCCTCTTTTTCCTTTCCCCCTTCTGCCGCGATCGAGGTCCTTGACGGATCTAACTGGTCCACTTGGTCATCACGCATGATGGCCCTGTTCCGAATGAACGGCATCCGAGATCATCTAACCGAAGACAAGCCCAGCACACCCTCAGCCGACTGGAACACCTTGGAAGGTGTTCTCCAAGGCATCCTTGAACTTTACACTCAGAAGGATGTCTGGCAGACCATCTCGGATGACAAATTATATGCCACCTGCAAGGACAAGTGGGACCAGCTCAAGAAAGTATACGGAGGCGTTGGATCTATGTCCGCGTTCAACACATGGGTCGCGCTCACTAGCACCGCACTCGATGACTCGTCTCCCATGCTTCCTCAGTTGCAGAAGTTAAACGATGCACGCGTTACTCTCAAAAATAATGAGATGGAGATTTCAGATCTCCAATTTTGCTTCATCCTCATCAAGGCGCTGCCGGACTCATACTCAGCAGTCGTGTCTACCATCTTAGCTACCGGAGCACCGGTGGACCTTTCCCCACTAACCATACAAGAGCGTATCATAAATGAGGAAGGTCGACGGTCCGGTTCCTCCGCCGCACTCAACAAGTCCGGGCCCGTCAAAAAGCCTGATAACAAAGACAAGAAGGCTACAAAATGCTTCTACTGTCAGAAAAAGGGGCATCGGATTTCCGAGTGCAGGAAGAAGAAGAAGGATGAGGAGGACAAAAAGGCAGCAGAGTCCAGGCAAAACAAGGCAGTTAACGCACATCTAGCCACAACATCGGCATCTATTGTAGAAGTTACTGATGACACTAATGATATCCGTGTTTCTTTGTATGCTGCCGCCCGATCTCGCTGGATGATGGACTCCGGTGCAACGCATCACATAACCCTGCACTGATCTGACTTCACAGAGTATGCACCCATGAACGGGACTGTCCGCCTAGGCAACAACTCCAACGTCAAACAAATCGGTGTCAGGAAGGTGGTCTTCAAAACCACTCTTGGGAGTCGAGATTCTGAGGTTACCCTGAATAACGTTCTTCACATTCCAGATGTTCGGACATGCTTCATCTCTACACGCGCTCTCGCACAAAGGGGTGCTCAGATCTCATTTACTGATAAGTTTTTCACTATCATGGTACAAAACCGGAAAATCGCGCAAGGGTACCTGGAGGACAACCTCTATTGGCTGGATGCCTCCATCTCCGCCCTTCACGCGCACACGCACACACACACATCTCATCCTATCGACCTTTGGCATCACCGTATGGGGCACATGTCTTACAACGCCCTCAAACGGTATCATTCTTCCATAAAAGGAATCTCGCTTGATGCTTCGATTGTCTCCGACCAGTCACCATGTCCCGGGTGTGAATTTGGGAAACAGTCGCGACTACCTTTTTCGGTCTCTCACAAGCGCTCGGATCGGTGTCTACAAATTGTTCACAGTGATCTAGCCGGCCCGATGCAGAAACAGTCTCTCCAAGGCGCGCTTTACATCGCAACGTTTGTTGATGACTATTCCAGACATGGGGTAGTGTACTTTCTCCGAAGCAAAGATCAGCTTGCCGCCGCGTTCAAAAAGTTCCTCTCCTGGGCTGAGACCCAGACGACTGAGAAACTGCTTGCGCTGCATTCTGACCATGGGGGGGAGTTCTTATCAGGCGCCGTGAGAACTGTACTGGACCAAAAGGGGATCGAACATAAGCTGACGATGCCAGGTTCGCCGCAACAAAACGGCATAGCTGAGCGATGGAATCAAACCATCATGGACAAAGCGCGGGCAATGCTACATGGCGCCAGCTTGTCCCTCGGCTTCTGGGAGCTGGCAGTGGATACTGCCGT